ATCTTCGGGTTTGTGGCAATAGGTCTTAGTGGATTTTTAATTTTTGTAACTGTTCTATAAGCAAAGAGCTTTCCTCTTTTGACAGGGTTTTGTAACCCATTAAGTGTTACTAAACTGTACTCTTAAAATGACATGTCTTGTATAAGTCAAAGCATTTACCTTGTAAGACCTGGGTGATAAAACAAAACAAAAAACAACAACAAATAACCAAAAAAAATACCCACACACAACATAAATTTGATTTCAAAATTTGAAACCTTAACTTTAACTAAAACAGAACAAATGAGAGAACTGTGGTTTCGACTAAAAAACAGAATTCCCCAAAAACCTTTTGGAGAGGAAAGCTGTCGTTTCACGAGGGGCCTCTCCTGTGTAAAGTGACGTCTCCTGAGGTCGTGCATAAACAAAATACCACAAAGTAAGAAGTAATCAAACAATCAAACAGTGTTTTAATCTCTAAGTACTCTAAGGCAGACATTTAACTTTCAGTATATATTTAGGTGTAAAATGAAACCTAAACGTTTACACTAAATTATATTCAGTGTAAGGCTGAAATGTCGATCCTTACCCAGGAAAAGTCAAATCGGTAGAGAAACTGAATTTCTCAACTATTCAGCTTAGAACATGATCCAACTGTGTCCCTTGGTTCATGTCGAAATGCCTGGAGCATCATCTTCGCTCTCTCTTGATGTTCATCGCGGTTCCGGCATCCCGCTGTCTCCGCTGCCTTCCAGGAAAGGTGCTTCAGCTTTTCCTGTGTTGCATCCGTGGATTGGGCCTGTTCTCCCGCGAAGCTCAGAACCTTCCTTTTCTTCAGATCCTCCGTGGCCTCCGCTGCGCTGTCATAAGTTACGGTGCCGTCGCTGAGGAAGACACAGAGTTTTGCTGGTGCGGGGGTCTGGAAGCAAATTCCTTTTTCTTTAAGGACTTTTCTGATGGGGGCGTAAGCCTTTCTTTTCCGTTGAATTTCAGTGGGATCGTCCTGGTCAAAGTAGATTCTCACTTCGTTCAGAAAGACCTTTCTTTTTCCAAGCAGAGCGGAGCACCAGTTCTTTAATTCCGTACTTCAGAAAGTAAGTCACTATTGACTGGGGGCTGGCATTTGGCGGTGGCTTCGGGCTGAGAGCTCTATGACATCTTTGCATTACCAGCTCAGTATCACTTAGGGACAACTCCGATTTAATAAATGTTTCCAAGAACTCCCGTAGGTTGTCCCCTTCCGTGTCTTCTGGGAGTCCATAAACACGAATGTTGTTTCTTCGTGATCGGGCTTCCAGGTTTGTCAGTTTAGCTTGTATATTTTCTTGTGCTTGAATAGCTTGAAGCAGAACCTCGTTAGCTACGGTAGCCCATTCCTCCACCTCCGCCACCCTCCCTTCTGCCCCATCCACTCTACTTATTGTGTCCTTTATGTCTCTGACAATTTCGTTTAATTTGTTATCAATATCTTTTCTGAAACACGTAAGTGCCGTGGAGAAGGAATCATTTTTCAGGTCTGTTCTAATGTCCAACCTGGTAGCTTTTAGCTTTTCGTGGATAGCACAGATGCTAGCTTGCAGGCCATCCATACCCTCGTCGCTGTCATCATCTGTGTCTTTTTCCATTGTTTGTTTTTCAACTTTTCCCGTTTTCATTGGTGTCTTGCTTCTCTGTTTACGACCAGTTTTCCCCTCCATTAGTGTAAAATGGTGTCAGAGTAAATTTGGGGAGTTTTGGTTAGTGAGTCTGGGAGCTCTCACCTTACACGTACCGGAAACCCCTGGGTGCACCCTTCTAAATGTACAATTGAGGTTTCCAGTTCAAAATAAACCACAATTTCAAAGACAAAAGTCCAAATGGCAACATTCATTTGACATTGCATAGACCTTGTTAGCTAGTTGCAACAAAACCTTAATTTGGAGGAACAGGTCCAACTTGCCCACACCAAATCCACTTCCTGTTTGTGTAGATGTCTGTAAAACTCCTCAAAGTAAAATGTCCAAAAGTCCAGGGTAGTGTGTGTGTGTGTGTGTGTGTGTGTGTGTGTGTGTGTGTGTGCCGTGCAGCACAGGAACAAAATCAAGTGGTCTGTCGGTGGGATTGGCTCGCCATCAATATCAGATCCATTCTAATGCATCGAAAAACCCTGACCTGTCAACAACAGTGTCATAGGAAACACTGAGTTTCCAAATAATCACACTTCACAAACTGTTAGCACATAAAAGTACTGTTTGTAACATTAACCATGTTTACAATTGAAAATAAAACTGTGAAATATGTAATAATCTTTGTATTGGTTTCAAGGGCTTCTTCAGTCTTTTCAGTAGTTAAAATATTTACAATTTCAATCACATTTTGAAGAAAACACAACTGTAGGGCATCGCCTCAAGTTTTGTTCAGCAAATAAAGATTTCCACAAAACATTGTAACCTATTTTTCCAGTAAACACTACAAACATTTTACGCACAGTGAACTCATAATAAGTGCAAATAAACAATGAACAGGTAAAATAGTTTGCTCACCGATCTCACAAGAGGACAGCGCAGGAGCGTGAGATGGCACCGTCTCTAAGCCCTGACATTCCACGACCAAACAATGTGGAGAGAACCAGAACTAGTTAGTTGTTTTGAACTTAACGCATCATTTTAGCAGTACAAATGCATGAAAGCATTTTTAGCATAAGCAGCTAGTGCTAAGTCTTCCTTCTATATTATTTTTGTACCTTTTTTCAGTGAATCTCTCCCTCTCATTTTCCCTGCAGGTGTATTCAGAGCTAATGGGGCATAGCCTGTGCTCTCTCAGACGGAGATGGCAGGCGGAACAATGCATCATTTTGCAGATGCTCATTGGCTAAGAGCAATGCATGAGTGCTTCAGAATTGTTAACCATTTAACTGCCGAATATATGGTTTATTCACCATAAACCAAGTATAACTGTTAAAATTAACCATTCTTTTCATGGTTTGGCACATTTGATCAAAGCCATGTTTAAATGTGGGTTACATCTGTCTTCCTTTGCCTCTTGTCGCACTGTCTGCTAATCTTCCCTCGTGTTTCCTAGTCACCGATTTTTCAGGTCTCAGGTCTCTGTGGTTCACGTTTTGTATTTTCCTCTATGTACTTCACGTTTTGGCTTTAGCTTTCCCCAATTTAGGTTTTGTTAGTTTAATCTTAATCTCCCTTTGCTTTTCTTGGTATTTTTGTGTACAGACAGAAATAAAGGCTTGCTTTTGGTTATTTTCAGTTCCATGTCCATTAGTTGCAATTGGGTCTCCACTCTCCATCTCCACCATCTGCTGCAGCAGACATGGCAATAATACTCTCATTATTCTCATATATTACAATGGTTCAGGTTTAATTTTCATTTCATATTATCTCTGCCTTTATATACCTATTGCTACAACCCTATTTTAGGCATTTGTTTGTAAGTTGTGTGTTAAACACTTTATCTGTTTCTTTCCTGAACTTTACTCTTGACAACTATCAGTGAGTTGTTCTGGTAGCAGGTGATATTTTTCTTAAGAAATCCTCTCTCAAAAAGCCTTAAGGATGTCTAGTGATGTTAGTGTAAAACACAACTATTTCCAGGAGTAGTTCTGGATAAATAACTTTATGAAACTCAAATGCAGTAGAATATAATAGAATAGCCCTTTATTGTGATTGCACATGTACAACAAAATCATGGGTGCTCCATGCCAACTGTGGAGGATTAAAAATATATAAATAGTAAAGACATCAGAAATAAATAGCAAATGAACAGATATATATACAGTCAAGAGGAATATATACAAAACAAGAGAAAGGCACACAATGGAGAGTAAAGTGCTTGGAAGCAGTGCAAAAGGTCTGTGTATAGAGTTCGTATGTGAGAAAAGGGTTACGGGGTGCAAGGGGTTACCCTGGTTTTACTGAGGCTGGAGGATCTGGCAATGGCCTCCAGGTGAGGCAGAGGGCAGGCAGTGATTTTTTGCATTGTGTTGATTACCGTCTGCACAGCCTTCCTGTTTTCAGTAGTGGCCCCTGCGTAGCAAACACCCAGGCAGTAGGAAAGCACGCTCATTTAATGCTTCCTCTGTTACTTTACAAGCTAAGATATATGGTATGAGTGTATTGTGCTTACTGTGCACAAAATTATGGGTAATGTCTGTCAGATAAACTGGAATGATGGTCAGCAAAATGGAGCACCATGTATGCGTTCTTGTTCCAGCTAGTATCCCTGTCACACAGCTGGGGGAGTGTGTGCAAGGTTGTGTGGAACAGAGCCGGGGAGGCAGTTGTAAAGAGAGATTATATGGATCCAGAGACACTAGTTTTGGCCCACTGAGAATGCAGTTAAAAACTTCTCCTGAACATCTCCAGAAACCATACTTCCATTAAGATAGAAAAAGCTGCACGGTGAGGTTTACCTTCTTTGATCTCAAGTTCATAATCCAGCCCACACTCCTGAGACAGAAACTACAGGAAATGTTAGTAAACACATGTGAAAAAAGTCTGAAGATAATAACTGTTTGTGTTGACTGTCAAATGTTTTTTGTTAGTATAACATTTGTATAACACAAATATCACAGTAATATTAGTGGTCAGTAAAATGTATTCAGAATTTGCAAATTGATAATGGATTCATCATCTCTTAAGTCATCACAAAGAGATTAGATACAAAATGTGAAAATGGACTCATCTTAGTGAAAAAAGTATTAGTAAAACAATGACACACTGACTGACTTTCAGCAAGCTTTCCAAACAAACATAAGCATGTTTCTCTGTGACAGCAGCTGCCAATCAAATGCCTCATCTTATAGAATCAGGTTATTAATCAAAATAAAACTAATAGAATGGATCTGAAACAGAATCAAATCAGCCAGACGAGAATTACTACTAATGGCTGAGGTTAGCTTTATTGTTTTAGTATGACCAGTTTAACAGCCATCCTGCCGCCCGACACCAGGGGGCGATAGAGACGCTTTGCTTTCAGTTTTTGAAAGGTCTTGATTTTTTTTTCTGTAGTCGTTGGCCTGTGACGCATCGGGTCAGCCAATCGGGTTGCGTCAGGGTAAGTCATTTAAGACAACAAACAGAGGAGACGTTTCAACAAGTGTTCAGCTGAGTAAGTCCACTGTGTTATGTGAGTTGTGCTGATACAAGAGCGACACATCTAAGCTACTCAAGATGCAGCAGATGCCGTAGGGGAACAGCTCTTCTCTTTAGCCAGCTAGCGTTACAAGATAAACTGCGGCTGTAGTTGGCTTTAAGGCGCCCGAAAATACCGGATGTAAGTTAGTTCATTTTCAAAATAAAACCCAGTCACAAAGTATCAGAATCAGAATTTATTTATCCCCAAGGGGCAATTAATAAACAACAGAGCAGCATAACGTTTAGATAAGGACAATAAGAACAGGCAATAAAAGTGAAGTATTAAACTCATTTGCTGAAACGATTCTTTACAAAACACTAACAAACGTAGACATTATTAGATATAATTAAGTTGAATGAGAATGATCGTATTATATAATTATAGTTTTTAATCGACGGGCTGGGGTCGAGCTTTATTATGGTAGGGTGATCGGAAGTGACCGTTTCATCGTGCGACGTTGACTTGCAAGCTTATCCGAGAGTGGCTGTTGTGGTGTGTCGTTATGGTAATTTAGCATGCAGCACGTTTCGCTGACGTTTGACCTTTTTAACGTTTAGTTCGCACACCAAGAGTAAAAAAGGTTTCAGCGAAATAAGCACCAAGCAGTGTTTTTCCACCACAGATTCGAAGATGCGTGTGAGTGTCTTAGAATCTGTTGTCGAAAAACACTTGATGATGCTTAAACCAAGGTTAAGGTTACTTTATTTATGCCCACAGGTAAATTTGCTTTACAGGAAAATCCCTTCACAAACACACATACCTAAGGAAACCTGACAAAACACATATGTAGTAATGAAACAATGTGAATCAGACGAGCCAAGTCAAATAGGTGTGAAAGCCGCAAATATTTGACTATTTGTGTTGTTAATAAGCGTAATGATGGTTTATACTGGTGTTACAGTGAAGAAAAGGTTGACCTGATAGGCGAGTGAGTCTTTTCACTTTATATTTGGATCATTTTGAGCCTCACATCGAAAATGTTGTCAGAGTTAATATGAAAAATCTGTTTTATTTAATAAGGTAATCATAACTCAAGAAACGACTCAGTTCAGTCTTCATTAGCAGCATGGTTTGCTCAGTTGTCATGGCGATAATTCAGGTGTGAAAAAGAGATCTCTCCATGGCAACTGAGCAAACTCCATCTGTGGTTGAAGACTTTGCTTTGTCATCATTAAGTGTTTTTGAGGACCTAGTAAAGACGCATTCACAGTCAAAGTGTGGACTCGGTTTCTCTCAAATGTGATGCAAAACACACCACAGTGTGTCACTCATTAAAGTAATGGTAGTTTTGGTGTTTGGACAGAACATTATGTTTTCTAATCTGACTGTTAATGGTTTTCTGCACGTAATATACTAACAGTACAGCGTGTCATATTTTCTAGTAGGTGTATTCCTCATCAGTCTCCACTATAGGCAAGGCAGTAACTTTTCAAAGAAGAAAAAATCACCCTAAATAGTAACAGAAATGCTGTCTTGAAATATTTTGTCTGAAAATTCTGGTTTAAAACGGTTTAGAAATAAATGTTGTCTCTATAAGACACGACTTTATACAACCAACTGAACGATGGTTCATTTCACTGCATTCTTCCAATCTTGATATTTCATGCAGTGAAACAGTGTCAAAGCAAAAATGATATTTCACAAAGTGCTTACTATGGGTTGACAGGTGCTTTGAAGTTTATTTGGACGGACAGGAAGGTTTATTTTGTTGAGGTAGGACGCTGATTTTGGATGGTTTTGACTCCTGTGAACACATTTTTAAAAGGAACATGCTTAAGTTGTTTGTTGGGTTCTTGTGGGCAGTGCATCCTCCTCGAACATTTGGCCGTGGTCAGGCAGTTTGGTTACAACTGTTCTGTGTTTTTCAAATGTGATGAAAACATGTGACATCCATACGTCCACTCAGCCTTGCGTGTGGTTTGTGCACTTGGGCTAACGTTAGTAGCTGTGAACAGACCTGAGGTGCATTACACTGATGTGCTTCTGAACAGGCTTTCTGCTCCTGTTAAATGAAAACCTGAGATCTTGAAAGGACATGATAACATTAGTGTTTGGATGATTCATAGGGTGAATTGTTTCAAGCCCTTCCCGGGCCAAAAACCTAGTTATCTCACATATTTCATACACTATTCTCATTCATTTGAATGATGCAACAAAACAGAAGTAGCATTCTGTGAATGGCAGATTGACTCTTTGTGACTGAGTATTAAGTAGGTGAGGGTGATGCTTCTCATATTGTTCATAAAAATGTTTTATTGTGTGTTGTTCTTTCCTAGTTTCCTGCTGGTGGATGAGGTGAGCATGATTATGTCTCGCAGACTAACCAAAGAAGAGCTGGATGCACAGTTTGAGCAGTTCTTAAAAGAGGTAATGCAACATTAATGCGTCTGTGCTGATGTTTGTAAATCATCACACTATCAATTATCTGTATAAAGCCTTTCATTCATCTGATTCTGATCTGATTCATCAAAATCTAAATGGTCACTTATTATTTTGGGTGGTGGGTTTTTCATCTGTCACCCCTCTTGGACTATATTTAGAACTGCCTGTAAACATTAATGACCAGCAGCAAAGATTAGCCTACAGTCAGCGCCCCTCAGAGCACCGACTCCATGTGAACTGTGCTGAAAGGCTAATATCAGGAGTATTTTACTGAGAAGTGTTCGTATCTCAGCCAAACAGAGGGAGCTCTTTGTGTATGTAATATCAAAAATGTCACCGTGATCAGTGGTCCCTTCATGTCAGCAATAAAAAACAGGAAACCACAGTTTTGTCTTAAGGCCATCTCTTTGTCAGTCTGTTTCAGATGACTCTGTGGATTTAGGTGCTCCTGACAAGCAGCCACACTCTGAAAGCAACCAGAAACCAACAGTGAGGCAAGATGAGGCACTCAGTGGTGGAGGATCAGCAGCAGGTAACAATGATGAAACATCCAGCACATGCACATGTGAGACACTAGCTTTATTGTAGCTCACTCTCTCCTCTCTCTCTGTTTGTGGGGTTTTTTAGATGCAGAAATCTGTAAATAAAAACATGCATTAGGCTGCGTCCACACTAACATGGATAAATTTGAAAACAGCGTTTTCATCTAAAAATGCTCCGTGTCCACAAGAGTTGTTCATCCACAATGAAACGACTAAAAACTCTGACGTTCCAGTCCTGCGCATGCGTGAAACGTAAGACGATTCGGCCTGCCTCATTTCTGTCTGCTGTTTATTTACTTTCCGACTCTTTGAAACGTGGCAGCAAAATGTGGAGGAAAAGCACCGAGTTTTTTAAATGGACTAACAATGAGGTGGAGTTGTTGCTGCGAGTAACACAAGAGTACAAAGTTGAAAAGCGAGCAAGAATATAGACCAAAACAAATATGGCGAAATTAACATTTGGTCGTCTTTGAAGAAAAGCTATGGGGAGCATGTACAAACAGACAGTAATCTTTAATGGGGCTGTGAAAAATGGGAAAAGACTAAACAAGTGCTGCACTGTGCCGTCCGTCATCTTAGTTGAATTGGTCACATGACTGCATCATGTGACTAAAATGCGTTATCGTTTTTCGAAAGCCTCTGTTTTCGCAATCCACACTGCAACGCAAAAACTGCGTTTTCAGATTTATGGGGAAGACCCCAAACCTCCCTCCTCCTGCTCATGTGTAGTGCTGCTGCGTGTTGATCTAAGGTGCATTTAAAACACGGGAGGGCGTCGTGCTGCTGCCAGAGAGCAGCAGGCGCCAGCACGCCACCTCCCGAGAACGTCTACATGCATTTAAAACTCAGAGGTGGGCGCCAGAGGTGAGGTTGAATACACAGACCGCCCTCTGGACGCCATGTAGATGTAGCAGGCCCTATATGTATGTGTTATGAGTGTGAGTGATGTGGATGTCTGTGGATTCTGTAAGGATGAAACCTGCCTGCCAGTTTTCTAAGCTTTACCCTGAGATTCTGGTGTTTCTAGCAAAATACATTTATATTTAAAGAGCTATTTGTTAAACCCAGCCCCATTTATTGTGGCTTTAAATGCATTTTTTGAGTTTGTTTTGACTTTTTCATTGCAGTTATTTCATGCATCTAATGCAGGAATTGCAGCTTCTTTTAATCGCATGTTTTTATCATTGCATAAACCACAAGGATGTGTTTGTTAGCAGTTGGGAACATGTTTTACTGTTTACTCATATTTATAACAAACAAAAGGGGGATTTGTGTCTCTGGTAGAAACCAGAAAGCAGCCACTCGTCAAACTAAAATAACAACAATAATAAATACATCTTAAGAACACATTTATACTGTTTACTATACAATGTTATACATAAGAAAATATAAACAGGAAGCTTTCAGACTGGAGCTAATATTGAACTTAAATGTGCTCTAACTGCTGCAGTGCGTTCTGAATGTGTTGGGTTGCTTTCCAGCTAAATGTCTGACAGTAACTCGAATAACTTTTTATTTTGTACGTTGTCTTCACTTCACGCATTCACACCAGCACGTCCTTCTGTTTTAGTGCTTTCTGTCTAACATTCATACTCTGCTCCATCAGAGACCAGTGTGGCCTCAGTATGTTGCTCAGGGATACCTTTCGGTCAGTAGAGGACCTTCTGAGCTGCAGCCACCCTGATTGGGTTATTCAAGTGACGATAGGACCTTACTGTACATGTTAATGTTGGTGTCGTTCTATAATATGAGACAGTGAGAAATGTTTCAACAGCACCTAAAACCTGATACAGGCTGGTGAAGACAGTGAGCTGATGCCTACACTAGGTGGCAGCGTGGGCCTTTTGTTAAGCCAATAATATAGTTTCCATTATGGTGACTGTGTCTGATGTGTTGTACACTTGTTAACAGTGTGTATGTGAAGGTTGGGTCCAGGTGGTGGATCGATGTTGCTTTTCCTAATTCGTTTAGATCAAGATCTTTTTATTTCTGTCAGCACGGTTGGAATCTCAGATTTCTTTACGGAAGTCTGAGTCTATTCAAGAGGAGGATGAGGAGGCAGAAGGTATTCACTCAAAGGAGGAAGACCTCGTCCTGAGAGACAACAAGGACACAGAGGGTGAGTCCTTGAACACACAGACGAATGATATGATATGTGAAGGTATTTAAAAAGCAAACACCAGAGGAGCATGCAGAAAACGATGCTTATAAACTAAAGAAAGAAAATCAATAATAGGTTCAAATGGAAAGAAGCCTGAGAAGAAAAATATGCGATGAAGAACAGAAACAGATGTTCAGTGACATTCGTGAGACTTCCAGTTTATTTGGGAGGCTCCAGAAACGTACTGGCAGCTAAGAAAGTGTTACACAAATTCATGTTTGGAGAAATTGTGCTAGCACTCCAGCTTTCCTGATCTTCTTATTAATATAAATGATCAAAAAGCATTTTTCATCTTTTATTATGTAACCAGGATGGCAATGCTGCAAAACATGTTTTTGAGCTTGTAGATATTTGAAATCAAAGCTTAAACTGAAACAGTAGTTTTACAGCTGATCTAAAGTTTAGGACCAAAAAAAACCCAAACAGAAAGTTCCAAACATGAACTCCAGTTGGAGGCCTGCACAATAAATCTAAAATTTATTGTGCAGGCCTCCAATGCTGCAGCAACGAGTCAGAGTTGTAAAGGCTGAGAGCGAGACGCATGACGAGATCGCTACTGACTATGAACTCGTGCCTAAAAAAAATAGTACCTCGCTTATTTGGAGGTACTTTGGATTTGATAAAGACGACGTTCTTCAAACACAGGTGCTCTGCAACACTTGCTGAACACTTGTGACAACCACCAGAGGAAACACGACTCCACCATCATCTTCAATACAACCACAGAGAACAGTTTGAAGAGTTCCAGAAAGACAGGGCTAGCCAAACAAAGGTTGCTAATGTTAAGACAAAGAGCGCCGCAATCCAACAGCCGTCTCTGCAAGGGCGTAGATTTGGTTTTGGTGTTGGTGGGGACGATGATTCAACCACCGAACCTGCCCTGTTTCTTTTTTTTCCTTTTTGTCTTTGCTTCTTGATAAAAAAGGAGAAATATACTTGCCTACATATGCTATTCTACATGCTTTTAAACCATTTAAAATTACAATTCATAGTTTTATATTT